ACTTTTAAAAAAATTAAATAACCCCTCCTTTTCCTCCCCTCTTTAATTACTTTCTTGGTTTGACTCCTGGTTATGACAAGACTTCTTTATTCCTGAGGCTATAAACAAGTTCCTGTAGTCCTCCTGACTCAGGGGCTTATTTGTGTGGCCTAGGTGTGAGATTAATTCCTATTATAACTGGCACCTAGGGCAATGAGGATGCCCAAGACCTTTTCAGGGGGTCCTTGAGGTCAAAACTATTTTCTTAACAGTAATAATAAAGTATTATTTGCCTATTAAAATACCACTTCCTTTTCCAACTAACTATCTGTGTGAGGCCAGATTTTTTTCTCATACTCCAACCAAAACAACATATTATAACGGATTGAATGCAGAAACAGATATGAGATCCAGCTGTCTTCTATTAATCTAGACAGCAAAGAAATTTACAAAAATGTATGAAAGAATGCCTTCTCTTGAGGACGAGAACTGTCTTTTGCCTCTTTTTATATCCCCAGCACTTAATACAGTGTCTGGCATATAGTAGGTACTCCATTAATGTTCGTTGATTGATTTTGGAAAATAAAGTTATTTTTTCATAAAAATATTGCTAATGTTTATATTTAATATTTTTGTTATTTTAAAACAAATTAACATTTTAAAATTTTATCACTTTTAATTTTTAATACTTTAAATATCAATAGACACAAGTGATATAAAAATCTCTTTGGTGTCCTCAATGATTTTTACGTGTGTAAAGGGGTCCCCAAGCAAAAGAGGTTGAGAACCTCTGACCAGAGAGGCATTTCATAGGTGCCATACTGGGTGGATGGAGCTCACAGATCCAACTGGCCTAAGGACTTTGAACTTTGGTGGTGTAGTTATATTCTCAGGTCATATATGTAAGGAATTTCTTTGGTGCTGTCCTAGTGTTTAGCATTTGTTTGTTGATAAGCAAAACCATTTATTTTTTTATCAGTGTAAGTAGTTGGGTTATTAGGGAATTTTATTGCAGTTCTTGTTGGTATAAACATTGTTTAACCCCATAGAAACTTGAATCACAGACTTTCACTAACTTCTGTTTTAAATTAAATGTTGTAGAAATCAGCTCTCAGGAGGAAGTGTGCTGTCTGTAAAATTGTGGTCCACACAGCCTGCATGGAGCAGCTAGAAAAGGTAAGAGAGCGCCCCCTGCTGCACAGCGTCCTATAGTGCATGTATTCTAGCTTCGGAATTCTAGTTCTCCATTCCTTTTATCTATCTCATCCCATTTCAAGGAGTTCCAAAGACATCTGCCAAGTATAAAACCAAGGGGAAAGAATCTCTATTATGTTGAAACTATAAAAACAACCCCAAACATGCACCGCTTTAGTTTTATCTACCATATTCTTTAGTTAACTTTTGGTTGTGGAAAACCTTCCACTTTCGTTCACTTTTGATTGACAGGCATTGATACAAGGTTAATAACATTCTTTTCATTTGGTCTGTAGAGTTGCTGTGAAATAAAGCAATTCACCCACCCATATTGCTTTTGTCCTTTATGTGTGGCTGCTCATAGCTATCTTTTTACTGCTGAAAGAAACTACTATGGTTCTGAATTGCTCAACACTGTTTGGGAGGCTTTAAGAGATATATATATATGTATATATATATATAGATAGATAGATAGATAGATAGATAGATAGATAGATAGATAGATGGATGGATATATAGATTGATAGATAGGTGGATATAGAGATAGATTGATGGATGTAGAGATAGATAGGTAGATAAATAGATACAGAGATAGATTGAAAGAGATTGATAGATATAGAGATAGATAGGTAGATAAATAGATATAGAGATAGATGGACAGATACAGAGACAGATTGATAGATGCAGAGATAGATAGATATAGAGATTGATAGATGTAGAGATAGATAGATAGATAGATAAAGATATGATGGGGGATGAGCCCAAAGTGAGACCTTTCTCCCAATTTGGGCCCCCCATATGTCTATGGGTCCTAGAAAACCCTTGGATTGTCCCTGAATTCTCCCACTTGCTCATGGAGATTTCTGGCATTCCCCTGAGGCCATGATTCCGTCAATTGGCCTTTCTTTTTGGCTACACCCAATCCCCCAATTCTATTATCCTTGACCTAGCCTAGCCCTCCATTGTCTTGCCTCCCTGTGGCCCCAGACCACTTCCCACCCTTGGTCCTATCTGGGCTCCATTTCCCTGGAATTCTATTACCTCATAGACTACTTGGCCACTCCTAGATCCCTCCCACAGTCTTTCTGTATATAAGGTCCATCTTGTCTCCATTAAGGTCCATCTTGTCTCCATTAAGATGCTCAGATTTTCACAATCTAGCCAATCTGAGCCACAGATGCTCGGATTCCTTAAAAGTCTGGGTAATATGGCAAATCTTCAATAAACTTTGTTTTTGGCCGAAAGAAGGGTTGGGTCGAATTCTTTTGGGCAGAACTCACGTGTCATGATTTTGGGATTCCAGGATCCCAAACCTCTAGACCTCAGCAGATAGACTGGCCTCTAGTTCCTCACATTTTTATGTATTTTGTAACTATTTCTGTAACCCCATTAGTACGATTCTGCATACAACCCTTACTCGAAGTGGCCAATAAGAACAGAAATAAAAGTCTTATAAACATTAGCTCTTTTCCTTTCCTTATACTTTTCCTTGTACCTATTCCCATTTCCCTCTGAGTTTTTCTGTGGAACACAGTTTTTCTATGGGAAAAAAATAACCAACACAGTTTTTCTGTGGAACACAGAAAAATGGGAAAAAATAACCAAACCCTTTGATAACCTATTAAAAGTCCAGGATCCAGATCTTTCTAACCAGGCCTCCCTTTGGAGCACTTGGATTTTCTGGGGGTGGGGGGGAGGGCAGGGAGGAGGAACACACACACACACACACACACACACACACACACACACACACCAGTTATTAGGTCTTAGGCATTTTATTTAGATGTCACCACATAAACTTGGAGGTGGGGCCGTGAAGTCAGGAGGACTTGAGTTCAAGTGTGGCATCAGACACTTACTAGCTGTGTGACCTTGTGCAAGTCACTTAATCCTGTTTGCCTCAGTTTCCTCCTCTGTAAAATGGGAATAATGCCTTCTCTGCTCACTTCACAAGCTTGTGATAAGGATCAACTCAGATGTTGTATTTGTGAATGCTTTATAAAGTCATGTTGCTATTATTATGACTATTTCCATGGAGAATAGGACAGAATAGTGTCACCTTTATGGAAAGTGACTCATTTGAGATATCCAGTTAATATGCTGGTCCTCAGATATGGGCATTTCATAATGACAAAAGCAGTTACTCCTACATAGCACAAGTCACTTCAGCTCTCATACCACTTCTGTTTACTCACCTAGAAGATGAGAGGGTTGGATCAGAATCAGGGGTTCTTGCCCTTTTTGGGTCACAGAATTCTTTGGCAGTCTGGCAAAGCTTATGGCCCCACTTCTCACAATCATGTTTTGCTGCCTACATTCATAATTGAAGAGAATGCTAAATTTAGTGAAAATAAAAAGGTAGTTGTTTTCCCATCCAAGTTCCTGGACCCCCTACAAGCTATCTATAGACTCTGCAGACCACAAGTTAAGACCCCCTGGCCTAGGTGATCTCCAACATCCGTCTAAAACTCTTTGATCGATCCTAAAGGTCTCATTTACTGTGCATTCTCAATATTGACCAATGTTGATTCCTTCCAGTTCTATATTTATACTTGTCTATACTTATCCCTAATATTTCTTTGTATGTGTCTGTTGATTGGCAGATTAACTTCAGATGCAAACCAACTTTCCGGGAAGGAGGCTCAAGATCTCCAAGAGAAGTGAGTAACCCAAGAGTACAGTTCCAAGCCCCGCTTCCCACTCCTTGATGATTCACTTGGTTTAGAGGTAAACACGTCTCTGATGCTCCTCACGCCTGGATAAACAGATTCTTCCTCTTTCCATTCACTGTCCTCAGTGGAGTTCATCCTCTCTTGCTAGTGTGCCTGGAATGCCTCCTGGAACAGGGTGCCTCAGTATGTTGGTGTTGTCTCTGAAGGCCAGGATGGGGCACGTCACTTCTTACTGAACACCCAAGTAGGGTGGAGGGAGAGGAAGCAAAGCAGTATTTCAGGACGTTGGGTGATTTTAATTCCATTTCTCACTTTGGAGAAGGTGCAAGATGCTCTTTCTCCCCAGCTCTCCCTTTCTTCTTGCCCTTATCACCTGTCTCCTTTGCCTCCTTCATCTCAAAGTGGTGGATGGATGATGTTAGAATAAGTGGTGCCTTCTTTCCTTCCTCCTCTCCCACTAAACACCTCAAGTTCAAGGAGGAAGAAAGTAAGGATTTCTCACCAATTATGTAATAAATAAAAAAAAATATTGGTTTAATCACAGCAAAGACCTAAACCAAAAATGCCTAAAGTTCTTTGAAATGCAAACACTAAGTCCATACAGTGGTGGGCCTGGAGTTAAGAACCTGAGCTCCAATGCTGCCTGAGACACTTACTGGCTGTGTAGCTGTAGGCAAGTAACTTAACCTCTACCTGCCTCAGTTTCCTCATCTGTGAGATGGGAATAAGAAGAGCCGTCTACCTCACAAGGTTGTTGTGAGGATAAAATGAAATAAAAATGGGATCATATCTGTAAAGCACTTTGTAGACTTTAAGGAGCTATATAAATGCTAGCTAGCATCCTCAACATCATCATTATATTTAAGTTTACAAACTCAGCCCCTGGTAGCTATCTCCTCTTAGATGTATTTTTCCCTGCAGATAGATTATCCAGTGGTCATCAGGATGCCTGCAGTATTTTGGCTTTGGTGGTGCAGTAGAGTAGCTTTGGAGTCAGGGAACCTGGGTTCAAATACAGGCCCTACCACTTAATTCCTCCATGGCCTTAGGCAAGTCTCATAACTTAACCTCTCTGGGCCTCAATTTCTCAGAGGTGGCTGGATAATGATGTGGATAGAATGCTTAGTGTCAGATAGACAAATCTAAATCCTCCTTCAGAGATTTACTAGTAGTGTTACTTTGGGCAAATCACATAATTTCTCAAGGCTTCAGTTGCCTAGATGCAATTTATGCAGCTTAGTGGATAGAATGCTGGTCTTGGAGTCAGGAAGACCAGAGTTCAAATTCTGCCTAGCTGTGTGACTTTAGGCATTCTCCTTTTGGTCATTTATAAAATGAGAGTGTTGTACTCAGTAGCCTCTGAGGTCCCTTCCAGCTCTAAATCTATAATATTAAGAATATTAAGTTTGTCCTATAAGTGTCGTTTATCTGAGATGGAAATTTATTATTATATTTTTCTTTTATTTTTTACCTCTTTATTCGCACAAGCAAAAATAGCATTAAACCAGGGCAGAGATAGTTTTTGAAGGATTCTACAATTGTCTGCGATCTCATTGATGTGGATACTTTCTCTAGTCGTAGGATTGCAACCCCTCCATGCTTTCTTAGCCCATGAGATGCTTGTCTATCCCCTCATGTACATTTTCTATCCAGCGTTTCCCTGAGTGCTTAGGGTCTTCCTCTTCATCTCCACTGGAGATACCAGTGGAGTACACAGGCTATCCATTGCTTGTCTCTCCAGTGATATTTTCTCCACAGGTAGTTTCATTCTTTGGTCACTGGACAAGGATTTCACATTTAGAGTGCCCACAGCTAAGTTAATATTTATAGATTGTCAAAAAGTGTGTGATTTATATTACCTTCTGCTGCTTTTCTGCAACTTTTTTTTCCCCATTACTACAGTATTAGGAAGCTACCCAGGACAGAGGGCCTTTTTGTGTTTGTCTTTGATTTTTGTCTGCCATATTCAGATTGGCCTATGGAAAGTAAAGGTGGTCTGTTTCTGGCCTTTCCAGAATGGTAAAATCTGCCACTGCAGGCAATTCTGATGCTATAGTCTTTGAGAACATAGGGTAATCTCCATGCTAGGGTGAGGAAAGAGTAAGACATTTTAGAGAAGTCATCTTGTAGATTGGATTAAAGCAAAGCAAAACAAAACAAACCCAAACCTTCATACAATTTGGTTCTTCTCTCACTAATGTTTAATTTAAAAAAAAAATTAATTTTTTCTTTAAGCCTTCCGTTTTATAAAAAGAGACATCCTTAGCTCCTCCTGTCATCTGTTCAATTTGACATTGAAATTCTTCTGCTCATTCGTTGCTCATTGATGTGATTTCACTTGGCTTCCAAGTTCCCAGAACTTTTCACACCTGGAGTCTATGATTTGTTTCTCAATCTCCCAGTGTCTTAGCTAGTTTAGGGAGGCTTACAAAGCCGGAAAGACAGGTCACTCATTGAAGCACTGCTCTTTCTTCTCCTCCACATGGGCAAAGGTAGAGAGAGAAAAATTTCAGTTACCCAGATGCCCCTCTTCTTTGACCTGCTGAAAAGAAGGTAACATACTTACAGTGGAAACAGCTTTGGCTCTGGAGGGCCTGAATCAAGTTATACTTCTGACACCTATCCCCTGTGTGACCTTTGGCAAGTTAGTAAAACCCTCACAAACCTCAGTTTCCTCATGTGTAAAATGAGGGTGTTGGGCTAACTGACCTCTGAGATCCTTTTCAACACTGAATCTATGAGCCAAGATCTTATATACCCCTCCCAGTTCTCATTCCTTCATTTCTAATCCTTTATAGCTCCAAAATTCTAGGCCTTTTCCCAATCAAAAAGGAGTAATTTTTCACTTTCTTCTTAAGAAAGGAAACCACCTCTGTTCTATAACCACTTCCTTGTAGGTTGCTGACCTTGAATTAAATGCTATAATACGGTTTGCAAAATAGATGCTTTTGTGCTAGTTCCCTTAACTCCAATGCAATATCAAATACAAACTTGTTTCTGATCCGAGTGCTTTCTGAAAGAACTTCTCCAGAATGTTATGTTTTAAAAAGAATATTTTAAAAGGAAATGGAATAATGTTTTAAAACATAGATTTAAAGTGATTTTATCATAGTTGGAAAGAACTAGATGGGGTTAACCAATTCAGTAACAGGTCTGGACCCTTTAGTACTCCATGGCAAAAATTAGAGCATGTGGGTGAAAGAGGAAGTGAGAACAAGTATTCAAATCTAGCCAGACTTTTGGTGTTAGGGATTTAAAAGTAAAGCAAAATCTTCTAAGCCTAGACTTTGTCCTGTAGAAAGTAGAACCTACTATTTTTAAGAAATAAAGCATTGATTTGTTGCTTTAGTTCCTCAAAGGACAATAATTTATGGTAAGATTGGACTGAGATGACCATTAATGTCAAGATTTGATTTCCCTTAAAAGTTGCTGTGAAACTTGATTCTGGGTTAAAGTCTAACACCTGTATCAGAGACACATTTTCTGAACTGATTGCTTAAGGTTATAAATAACTGTAGCTTTATAAAATAAAATTGGAGA